TTATTTATTTCACAGAATAATAACACGTAAGCAACTGGCACCTAACTCTGGTTACAACTAAGCTTTTCCTTCGAATATGCTCTCCATCATGTTACTGGCAAGTTAAATCACAGTAAGTACTTATCCATATTTTTTCTTGGAATTTACTAAGATGGGGCTAATACAGCTCTTGGGAACACGCAGGGTATGAGAGCTGTTATAAGCAGCTGCGTGTTTCGGCAGTATGGTTTCAGGCCACGTGTTAGTGCATAAATGAATTTCTGTAAGTGTTATATGTGGGCAGTCTCCAAGCTTAAACACATATGTTCTTATAAAATGTATTTGTAAGTTGGTTGTAGGGAATTATGAGCACATTTTACCACAGAAATAATTTTCAAAAAAAATGGAAATAGGCCTGTAGGCCAGCCCACAGAACTCTATTTCATCCATGAAGTGGTGTCATGAATTCATGGTTCTGAGTACAGTCCTGACTCTGGCCAAAAAGACCTCGCAGCCTAGAAGCATGAGAGCTGAGGACTCTCTTTTGCAGAATTTTAAAAACAGCCACACTTTTCTCTGACACTGTCTCCTGTACCTTGCTACGTTCTTCCCTGTCTACAAAGGAGACCCCTCTCTCCAGCCTCAGTGTGTCTGTGACCAAGCTGGCCAGACCTTCTCTAGCCCCAGCATCCACGATCTTGAAGGACCTACTTCTCTTTCTTCCAATGGAGCCTCTTCTCTTAATAGAGCTTCCTCAGCTGAGTATGGGGGAGAAAGCAATACATAATTAATAGATTTGTACTAATATATGAATTATTTCCTATTCACTAAATTCTTTCTTGCTCCAAATTTAGAAGTTCTGCCATTTTTTTTTTCTAGGGTTGGTTCTGGCTTTTTATGTCTTCTTTTTCTCCTTTTCTGAAACTATACGGTTTCCAAGTTGCACGTTTTTCATAATGGTCCCAGTGGAATGGCAGCAAGGGCTTGGCTGTCGGGAGGGTGAGGACGGAGAGGTGGCATGTATACGAGACTGCCTGAGTTTATGGAAGCACAAACTGTTACTGTGAGCATGTAGAGCTCTGGCCTTTGGTGAGCACATCCGGCAGCCTGGTTGGTTGCAGTCTTCCCCTGGTAATGGTTTGGGACCTTGCTGTGTAGATTGCTAGGTGCCGATTACTCCTATTGAATAAGAATCTCTGCAGGTGTCATCAAAAATCTCTCTTTTAAAAGATTTTCCTGAACTCAGCTTCTTCTTTTGGAGGGACTTTCATATTTCCAACTGCTTAGGGACATCTCTATTTTAAAGGTCCCACTGGTGTTTCAAATCAAAGCGTCAAAAGCAAACTTGTTCAGCTGAGAGGCAGTTTAGTGAAGGAAAGAAGGTGAAGAGAGGGAAAACTAAGTTCATGCGTGAATCTTAGGGAATGTTTGCTGTCAAGTGATTGTGGGAGGGAAGGGAAAAGAACCAAACCAGAGACAGGAAAGGGTCAGGATAACAGGTTGTCCCTACAGCCAAAGGAAGACCAAGTTTTAAAGCAGTAATGCCAAAGCTTCCAAAAGGTCATTACTCTTTAGGATGTCTTTTAACTTGGCGTTCATATATCCCCTTTGGCTCAACATGGAGTAAGCCCTGGCTATTTTGCTGCCGTCTGCCTGGTGCAGACACTTAAATAACCAAACAGAAATTGTCAGGAGAGGGAACTGAAGATTTTCATTTTTCTCATGTCTCTTAGTCTTAACTATACATAAAATCCTTTGATTGACATCAAAACAGTAAATGACCTGTCTTGCCCCCACTGCCCATTGCTATACCTTCTCCCCCCAGCATCAGAATAATTTTTCCACAGGGTCACCACTCTGCTTAAATCCCTTCAATGGTTCCTTTTCATTGCCCTGCAGATAATACCCAAAATCCTAAAGGCCAGCGAGGCCTGCACGATTTGGCCTTCGCCTGCCTCACTCATACTTGCTAGGCCTCCAGTCACACTGCCATTTCTCAGAATGCGCCAAGCTTGCTCTTTGCTTAGAAAGCACTTCCCCAGCTCTTGGCCTGGTAACTTCTACTTGTCTTCCTTTTATGCATCATCTTGGAAGTCACTTTTATGACCACCCTTTCTAAAACAGGCAGCCCTTCTATCAGTCTCTACTATAACACCCCTTTACTTACTTTATATCCATTATCATAATCTATAACATTCTAGTTAGTTCTCTACTTTTTTTTGGTGACTGTTTGTTTCTCCCATGTAAGCTTCATGAGAATAGGGATGTGTCAGATTCATCACTGTATCTTCAGGGTACATAATACCTGACATATAGTAAATACTCAACAATTAATTGTGGACTGACTGAATTACCCAAACCAAGTCATTCATTCACCCAACCAATATACACTGAGTAGATACACATACCATACTCTGAGGATACAACAGAGGACAAGGCAGACAAAATCTGAAAGCGACCCAGGACTGAAAAAAAGACAATGCTATGTCTGGAAGTAATCCTATGATAATATGATAACTTACTGGTCCATAAGCACGTTTTATTTTTTTATGTGACAGACATCATGTCAGTAAGCTTAGCTTTACCAAATGACTAATACCATGCCTGCTTTTGGATAGACTAAAGACAGAGAGCAAAGAAGGAAAAAGGGCAAAGAAGGAAAAAGGGCAAAGAAGGAAAAAGACAGAGAGCAAAGAGATAAAAAAGGGGTGGGAGAGAAGAAGAGGAAGAGGTAGTTCAGTGATGTCTCTATTCTCCAAAAACTTAAAGAAATTATCCTTCTTCTTCAACACTTATAACAGAAGGTAAGATTAAAATCACCCGAAAATTTTTTTAAAACATGACAAAACATACACATTTAGGCAAGCATGCTATTTCAAAGCAGTCACCCAAGAAAACTCTATATTTATTTGAATACTGTTACTAATTCTCAAAATACTCATAAAATTGCCTTCTTCAAATTGTAGCCAGAGATAATTTATTAACCATAGAGAAAAGGAAAATATTTGAGTTTTGATCCTAAATGGTATTTCCAAGATTGATTTCCCATCATAATCACTGGACTTGCTTTCACTGGACCTTTGTTTTAAAAATGAAATTCACTCATAAAGGGTGAAGATTCATCATATTGAGAATATTCTAAAACATGTGTATTTAAGCCAATCCTCAATATAGTTCCAGAAACATTTGAACAAATGTAGGATCTTCTCAATGACCACTATGAATTTAGGAGATAGCATTCATCTTGATAAACAGTTAAGTCTAATTAATCGGACATCGTTGAAATGGAGTAGTCTAGATAATATAGGAATATAAGAATATTGCTCAGATAACCAAAGTTCTAAACAGAAGACTTAAAATTTTTTATTTCATGGTGTCCTAAGATGTATGATTCTGTATCTTTCACATAGAGTATAGAGCTGATTTTACTCTCTGACCCAGGGTCATCATTATTGCCATCAGCTATTTACCCAAGCCATATACATAAAGATGCTCAAGGATATTGAGCTGTGTAGGAATATTTGTCTCTATTTTATATTGGGCCAAATTGCAATGCTTTAAAATTTTTTTTATTTGCATTTATAGTTTTTCTCCCTTCTTATGCATGGTCAATCTCTCAGCTGCTATTCCTTCTTATTATTAGTAAATCTGGCTTTTGCAAATTTCCTCCTTATAAAATTACAGCTTCTAATATGCTATGGGCTGGGCAACTACATAATTGCAAAATGGCAGAGGTGGTGGGGTGGAATGAAGAGTCATATAACTACAAGGTACATCATCCTTGCAAAAAGCAGGTTATTGGTGTGGCAGAATAGGAAAGAAATGGTGGGTGGTAATCAGCTCTGCAGTTGTTCATCTTATTCAATCAAAGAGAAGTAAACATATCATCCCCGGATGGACCAGAGGCATGATTTGTTTCCCTGTGAACTAGACAGGCCCCCTGCTAGCCTGGGCTGGAGAGGCGGATATGACCCAGGGCATAGCATCGCTGAGAAAGTTCTGAGACAACAAACCTAATTCTAAGCTACATGCTACTCACTCCTGGGACTCCATTCCCAGACTTCCTCAGCAAATAGCTCTCCTTATAAAGAACTAAAAAAAGATTATAAGTCTTCTAAATTAGAAACCAGCCAAATACTCATAAAATGAAATGAATAAGATAAAAAATAAAAAATGAAAGATGAAAATGATAGGAAGAATAAAAAACAAATAACCTATAGAGCTTTCTGTACACAGAGAATGACAAGACAAAAATTCTTGCCCTATGGAACCTGTGTTTTTCTGGCATGTAATAATTACATCAATAAATGTAAATGGGATAATATTCCAGACTAGATTAAAACCAATAAAATGAAAATCCAAAATTTGTGCTATATATCAAATACGTATTTAAAACAAAAGGACTCAGAAAGAATGAGCAAAGGCATACCAGGCAAATGAAAACAAAAAGAAAGAAAGGAGCGCTGAGATATTAAATATGGATAAGGGGAATTTAATGACCAATTAACAACAAAAATATAGGAAGGTTAGTCGAATATGCTTCTTAGTATCCTTGATACTACCCTCAATACCAGAGTACCTTTGCTTACGGAGAGCCCTCAGTAAGAGTTATTGACTGATAACAAAGAGAAGAAAAGCAGAAGCCAGTAAAGGAAAAAGTGACATAAATAGATTTTTTTTCTGTTGGTAAATGTCAGACTCCAATTATTGGCCCCGGTGAAATTTGGTAGTATAAGTATTACACGTGGTCTTTTTGAGCCTTTTCAGTAAAAATCTAACACCAAATACAAAGCGGGTTCCATTAACTAACTGTGACTTTAGGCATATAATTCAACCAAGTTAAGCTTTAGTTTGATCCCTGTAAAATGATGTGATAGAATGCAATGAACTTGTAGGTGAAATAAATCTTTAATCCTGTGTTTTTTTCTTAGTAAAGTATGTGAGACACTGATGTTTTGAATATGTATGGAATACTGACATAAACATAAAATATTTGGGGAAGAAATTATTCTTGACTGTACCTTTCATTTTTCAGTGTTATAACCTCTTCCTTTGTCTGATTCAGAAGAGCTTTGGTTATCTCTAGTTCATTTTCTGCGAGGTTAATTCTTCTTTTTATGGCTTCTTCTTGACTTTTCTTTGTAGTCAGTTCTTCCTGTAAAGTTTTATATATTTGTTGACAGGCAGTTAAAGAGTCTTCTTTTTCTTTAAGCAATCTGGTGTGGCTAAAAAGGAATAGAAAAAAAAATCAATATGCATTAGATACCATATTTTTATGTTTATCAAAGATATATGAAAATCCCATTTGAAATTATAGACTATAACTCTAACTTATAAAAATTAAGAACGCTAAGAAAATGGATAGTTTTGTGATATTAAAACTTTATCACCTAGGCAGAGGTAAAAATCAATGAATAGCTTCAAGATATTATAAACTCAAATCTGGTATTGTATATGTAAACAATACAATAAGAAAAGCTAAGTACATTTTAAATAAAATATTACTGAAAATAAGGTTTCAAATTAATTACTAAAAAATATTAATTAAAACATTTGCAATGCATACCGTGACTCAAAAATAATGGATTCAAACTTCAGTTTTCTAAGTTCTCTCTGACAGTCATCAGCTTCATTAGATTTATTCCTAAAATAATATAAAAAGTTTCAAATACTTTATTTCAAAATAAAGTATAATTGTTTCCTTTCTTTAAACATGTTTTTCCTTTATTTCTTTTCTATCTTTATATTCTATTTGTTGTTATGTATGCAGAGTTCCTTGAAGTTAGAAACATATAGTCAAAGGATTTTTCTATGCCCCCCAAAATCTAGTCTGTTAGTTTGACTACATGTGTTTTTCTTCTATACCACTATTTTACTTAGAAAAAAATTCTTATCACTTTCGAAGTATTATTTCTTAAAAAAAGAAAAACCTTAGTCTACTTTTATTATGGCCAGCTAAGCACCTATCAGATTGATCTGCATTTAAATAAAAAACCAGAAACTTTGGTAACATTTAAAAAAGAAAAGAAAAATCCCTGTGCGAAGGTATTGGAAAGTGACCAAAAGCAGGCAGATTCTGGAGGGAAGTTAACACTTGGAGTGAGGTGACAGCAGGTAGTAGCTTTGTTTGTTTGTTCATTTGTTTGTTTGTTTAATGACTTTAAACCTGAGGGCAGGCTACAGTCTGCACCATGAGGAACTAAAATTCTGAGAGAAAACTGGTAGGAAACTCACAGTCGTTCTGGCCTAAACTAGAGGACTGTTTGGGGAAACCACAGCTGCGGTCAAGGGCAAACGCTGAATATGAGAGAGCCAGAGAGAGCGAGTCCCAAGAACTGAAGTGAAACTGGAGCTACTGCCCTCTAGAGAGTCAGCCGTCTGAAGCCAACCAAATCAGTTCCCTGCTTAAAGCAACACCACCCCAACCATTATTTGGAGAAATATAACAGAATCCAGAGTCTCCATAACGTTCACAATGTCCAGAATAAAAATTCGCCCACATAGGAAGAAACAGAAAAGCATGATCCATTCTCAAGAGAAAAGACAGTTAATGGGGATTGACTCTGCGATGACCCAAATATTGAAATTAGCAGATGAGGATTGTTAAAGGAGCAATTATAATTCTGCTCAAAGACATAAAGAAAAATCTACTCTAATTAATGAAAAGATGAAAAGTCTCAGCAGAGAAATAGAAACTATTAACAAGAACCAAATGGAAATTCTAAAACTGAACTAAGCATTTGTCTTGATCTTATATAATTGGGTTTTGTAACAATACTCAAAATTTTAATATATTAAGAAAGATTAATATTCCAATTTAAGTTTATATAAACTGTTCAGTAAGTCATTATCTGAATGGACCTTAAAATAGCTTATATACTATACAGTGAAATGTTAGTTAAATTATCAATGGGTTTGCCCTAGTTCCAGAACGATTTTAGTTTTTAACAAGTAATATTTTAAAAAGCATCACGAACGTGAATAACATTCATTTGTTTTATACCTTTTTATTGTAAAAGATGAAGAAATTGTAAGGTATAGAAAATTGCATAAAACAAATACATAGTATAATGAATTATTATTATAAGAAGAATATTCCTATAACTACCATCCAGGTCAAAAAATAAAACTTTACCGGCTGCCCTAGATGCTTCATGTCCCTGGTTCCAACAGAGCGAAGTCCCTCTACTCTAAAAAAAACATTCTCGTGAATTTTATGGTAATCACTTTGGATTTCTTAGGAGTTTATTACCCAAGTTTTATTCCTGAACTCTATATTTTAGTTTTCCTTTTTTTTTTTGTAAAACATGTCTTTATACAACATTATTTCCTTATCTCCTTTTTGTAAAACAGCTTTATTAAGAAATTGCATTGGTTTATAATAAACTGTTTAATGTATATATAAGCCCATAAAACCATCACCAGAATCAAGTAGCCCAGGAGCATACTTAGAGCCTAGATCTTGGTCTCTAATACTGTTCCCCTTCAAAAGAAGGAGTACTCAGAGAAATGGCTGAATGCAAGAGTAGAGCAGGGCAGGTACATATGAAACATCTTCTTATGCCAGAAAGTAAGAAAGTGCTTAGGATCTTTGGTAGGATCATGTTCCAATGTCACGTGAGCCAGCTTGAAGGGGGTTCCACTAACTAAGCCCAGGACAATCTGTGTACCAAAATAATTAAGTACGGCAATAAATTATAATCCATTGAAAAAACAGAAATTCATGAGTCCATACCAACAATAATTTTTTTTTTTAATGGGAAGAAGAGAGGCTCTTGCTTACAGTAAAATGCTGAGGGATGACTAATAAGAGGAAAGGAGGGCTGGAGCTGGAAAATCATCATTTAGCAACCACTATGATAAAAACCAGATAGGCAAAAATTATTAATGGTTGCTATAGCTAGGTATATATTTTAATGAGAAGCACAGAATTGGAAAATTATTTCCAAATAAAATATTAGAAAAGAAAACATCGGGAAAAGATTAACATGCCATTAGAAAAGTGGGCAAAGGTTCTGCTCAGGCCATTGACAAAGGAAAGAATACAAAGAACTAAATACGCAGGGATATAATTTTTCATCAATTAATCTAATAACTTTTTTTTCTTTTTTAGTTATAATAGCCAATATTGGCTAGGCAGTGGAGAGATGGGTATTTACAAATGCTGCTGAAATTGAAAATCAGTATAATCTTATTGGAGTGCAATGACTCATTATGCATTAAAAGCCTTAAAAATATGTAAATTTGATTCTAGCCAAATTTATCTTAAGGAAATTACTGTATGTGAGTGGAAAGATTTATCTGTATGAATTGCAAAGTACCTTACTTACAAAACTGAAAAATTTGGAAATTTTAAAAAACAAGGGATTAGTAAATAAGTTATGGTTCATCCAATCAATGGAATACTATATAGCCATTTCATAATAATCAATAAGTATATTATGTATTGACATGGAAAATGTCCAGGATACATTAAGTGAAAATATGTTTAAAAATGTACATTATTCAGATAAATGGACTCTTAGGATATATCAAAATATAACTGTAATGTTCTTTTTTATATATTCCTGTATTTTCCAAGTTTTATACATTTGCTTTCAAAATGTATAAAAATGTTACTTTAAAAAATGCTTTGAAATTCAGCAGCCTCACCACAACTTTCACTCTGTGTTCAGACTCTTGTACACACTTTTCCAAATCTAGAGGCAGAGATGGTAGAAATCCTTTAAGAGTTACTTTACTATGTGGACAATTAATCTTGACTGCACTTTTTTTTTTTAAAGCCTGCTCCCTAGGGAGCCTACCATCCCAAGAATTCCCCTCCCCACGGTCAGCTCCCACCCCCACTCCAGTTAAGCCACTCTTTCTATGGTCTACCCTTCACTACCCAATTGTTACCCTTCGTTAGGAGGGGAGCAAATGGAAGGCATAGAAAAAATGCCTACATCTCCTTTACTGCATTCCTTCTTTAACTCTCAGCAAATAGTGTTAATCCTTTCTCTTCAACTGCTTTGAATAAGCCTTCAGAAAGGCCCCTGCTGCTTCTGCCAATCAAAGCAGAGGAAATCAGATAAAATAATTGGGTATTTCCCTGATTCTGAAAGGCAAGGGTCAAATACATCCAAGTTCTTATATGAAATAGCAATTCTCAAACTGCTTCCTTGATATTTGCACTTTATGTCCAAAAGGCATCTCAAATTTAACAGATTAAAAGCATTGTTTTTTAGTCCCCTCACCTCTGTATCTATTACTTTTACAGATTTCTCACTTCAATAAATGGCACCAACACAATAATGGTACTAACAGACAACACCTTCTATATCTAATGCAACCCTCAAAGCAACCCTTATTCCCTTGGTAAGAGTTGAAAAAACTGAAACCAGAGAGATTAGTTAACATGCTCAAAGTGACATAACTACGAACTAGTAATGCTGGGGTTTGAACCCCAGCAGTCTGATCTAGAGCCAAGGTTTAGTCACTATACTATACTGATCTCAGCTATCTACCCTGAGGCTAAAATCCCCCAAACCTCATCCTCTATTCTCTCCACTTCCTTTCCAGTCCCCTTCTTCTGCAGCCACATCTACTCCATCAGTAAACCCTATTAGATTAACCTCTGACATATATTTTTCTCCATCTCCACACTATATCCTTATACTAAACCAGTCACTTCTCGCTTGTGTGAACCCACAGCTGCCCGCTTAGCCTCCCCGAATGTTCTTGTACTCTCACTCCTTTCTCCATGTAGCAGCCATGCCGATTGTTTGAAACAAATCAGATTAGTTCACTCTCTTGCCTCAGCTTGTGGCCCCTTCCTCCATCTTTTAAATCTCATCACTCCAACCTCTGCTTCCATCTTCACAACTACGTTTGTGACTTAGACTCTCTTGCTTTCCTCTTAGGACATTTTCAATTACATTGGACTCGCCCAAATAACCCAAGATAATCTCCCTATCTCAAAATCCTTAATTTACTCACACGTGCGCAGTCCCTTTTGCCATGTAAAGTAACATACTCAGATTCCAGGGATTAGGGCATAAAAATCTTTGGAAGCCGTTAGTTTGTCTACCACAGTTGGCCTTCTTCATGTTTCTTGAACTTGTAAAACTCACTCCCAAGAATTTATGGCCTTGTCCTTGATCTCTCTGCTTCCAGATGTTAGCATTTTAGCATTGATATCTCCTTTCTGTACTCAGATCTTAACTCGCAAAGGACGTCTGCTCAGGGATGCCACTCTATCAAAAGTATATATCACCACTCCCCATCACTCACATTCTATTATGCCTGTTTTATATTTTTGCAGCACTTAACATTACCTGAAATTACTCAAACAGTTCTATTGGAGCTTGTCAATCTTCTTCTTCCAATATCTAGTGCCTATACACAACAGTCATGACACATCATCACCACTTGGTAAGCATTCTGTATTGAATAAATGAATGAAGCAAATCTAGCTTGTTCAATCTAGGATCATGTGGAAGTGGATCTATAGTGTGACAGAGGAATGCCACCAGGCCACCTACTTGCAAGGCGAAAATACTCTTGAATAACCAGAGAGGTAAGAAGAAAATCAGAAGAACATTATATGTCAGAAGGTGATAATAGAGAATGCTCCAAGAACAGGCTGGTCAACTGTGTCAGATGTTGCTCAGAGGTCAAGTAAGAGCTTTACAAATCAGTAATTTATGATGGTCATAAACTGATCATTGCTCAAATTATTAGTTAAATAAAATCAGTGTCAGTAGTTTACAAAGGTCCCTAAATTAGAAATATATTTCTATAACCATTTTATACATAATTAGTAATTGATAAATTACAAATCATTTTAAGCAAATTTTATTTTTATTACATCCATGAAAGTTAATACATTCACACTGTATGCTATTTAAGCAATATATAAGTATATAGAGTTAAATAAAATTCTCTATACACCCCACTCTCACTTGCAGAGAACTGTTGTAATCCTACTAGCCATTTATTCAATGCATTTAAATTCATATATATATGTGTGTGTACATTCACATATTTTTAACATGAATAGAATCATTTTTCTAATCATATTCTTAATCTGTTAAGTTCCTAATAGCTACTTTTCCATAACAGCCTATTCTTCTTTCATCGTTATAATGGCGGACATACTTTGGAGGATATCTTAACTTTTTAAATTTATCTTAACGTTTTATTTGCTATTGAACAATTTCCTTGGGTGTAAAGCTTTCCTGTATGAGTTCAAAGCCATTTGGGGGCGAGGGGAGTTTTTTCTGGTAATCTTTGGGTGGGTGTTCATCCTCAGCCTTAAGATTCTCTGTTTACTTGTCTATTTTGCTGTTTATTTTTGCCCTAGGTTGTTTTTGTATGTTATAATGAAGGGGCCAGGTGTGGTGGGGGCACTAGAGCTTTGTCTTGAGATGTGGGGACCCCAGCCTCTCCTGGGTTTCAGTAACTGCCAAACTTCCCAGCTCCAGTCCCCATACTCATTGGATGCAGATGCTTCACATATGCTGCTCCATATAGGGCCTGCTCATTGGAGGGGGTTTGGTGAGGGGCCAGTGGCTTTAATGTTCCAAATATGATTCCTCAGAGTGAGCTTCATGAAACCACCAGAATCGCGTGGGGCACACATTAAAAATGCTGATTGCCAGACCCAAATGTAAAATCAGAGTATCTGTGAGAATGGAGCCGAGAAACTGATCCTGGGATCGGGTCCGTGGGGTCATACCATCATATAGTTTCAACAAACTCCCCAGGATTCTCTTGCAGATTGGAGTTTGAGAACCACTGTTCTGATGATTCGCCAGGTCCTATTTCCTTCTCATTGAGTTAATGGATTCTAAGGAAGGTCCTGCCTGTTGCATCCCACCACACAACTGGTTTTCCTCTGGTTTATTTCTCCATAGAGCTGACCCTTTTTATAAACCTTCTTATGTATTCTTTTCAGGAATTCCTCAAAATTTCTCATGAATATCAGTCTTTTTTGTTAGTCTTACTTATCTGTGTTTATCCTCATGTATGTATATGTATATATAGACACACATATGTATATGTATACATATATATGACAGTTATAAAAGTATATTCCTAAGCTATATGTGTGTGGGCATATAAATATAAAAGTAATAAAGTTGTATTCCATAGCATCCATATTTTTCATTACTTGAGGGAGGTCTTCTCTAAATTAATCTTGATATTATGACACAAATAAAATTTGCAGAAAATTTTATTATCAACTTTTCAGAGCATCATTAACAAACATTACCTCTTCAGCAAACACTACTGGTTACTGGCTGAACGTTCACTGCAGCTTCCTTCCTGGCCATCAGAGCCCCATTATTGTATGCTCTTAGGATAAATCCTGCTTTGTCTAAACTAATTGTGCTTGTCCAATTCCCCTTGACAGTGACTCATTTAGGGGAAGGTATGTAAAGTGTTCTAACCAAAGAAACATAAAGAGAGGGCTGTTTGGTGGCTTCTGGGAAAAATTTTTTTCTCACTTCTAAAGAGACACCGGAAAAACAGGACCTTCCTACCCTCGGGGTGGTTACATTTTGATGTGGTACCTGGAACTGATGCCATCTGATGATCACAAGGGACCTAGCCTTTGGGGTGGAGACAGTGCTGAGGGCAGCGGGATGAAGACAGATGCATGGAGATATTGCTGAGCTACTGAATTGACTAAACTTAAAACTACTCTACCTCTGAAACTTATAGTCCAAGGCATCCTAACTGATAAAAATCTGTTTCTACTATAACAAGTTATTATAAGTTTTAGAAAATATTTTATTACAAACCTTAGGAAAAAAAAGAACCTTGATTTCATCCGTTTAAAAAACTGACTCTTCCCCTTAAGTGAAAATCCACAAAACTTACGTGGAAACATTTAAAAATTGTTAAACAACAAAAGAATGATCTTAAGTTCGAAAGGTGAAACGCATTCCCACCCCTAGCCCCCACACAGAGTGAGGATTAAAATTTTAGACAATTCTGATTTCACAGTACCTTCCAATTTCTGGAAGTTCAAAAGGTTTGAATATAAATAGTAAATATCCAATTTATCGGCCAATTGTTATGTCAAAATTATTGAGTAAATTATTTTGATTTCAAACTTAATTTATCATAAAACAATGGCTGAGTCACAAATTTGGTTTTAGTCTATAAACAGTATTCATATACTACTGGGGACCTCCTGAGCTCTAAGCACCCTGAGCAGTCCCAGGCTCTGATCCTAAATGCCCATCCTACTTCACTTCATCCTAGTAGTGAGGGAGCGCAGATGGCATAGAAATGGAAGAGCTGGGTACAGGCGGCATCGAGAAATGTCTCTAGCAGTTGGGGCCATAAGTGGCTCTAGTTTTAATAACTCAAATTTTCTAAAAATGAATATCTGCCTGTTTCCCAACTTTAAGAAGTTCTTCTATAGGCAGGAAGCACTGGTTTTACAAACTGAAACAAGAGCATCAGAATTTGTACAATTGTACAGTGATTTCCTCCAGGTGGAAACCAGATTCAATTGATGGACATTGGTGAGGTGGTATATTTCTTCCTCCTACTCTAATCTACTCTAACTCATTATTTCTTAGCACTAGTATTATAAATTATGCGAAATTATAATTAACAAAAAATACCACAAAGCATGTGTTAATATTAAATGGGCAAGCTCCATGTATATAGAGAGAATTCTGTGCACAGTTATTTCGCAAAAATCAACTCATGTCACAACCAATGAGCTTTATTCCTTTTCCTCAGTATGCTTATTTTTGTACTTAACTTCTCTCCTCACTTGCCAGGACTCTGCTCCACCCTATATGCCAGGTCTTGCTATGTTTACAAGTTCCAGCCCTTCCTCTCTATTCTTGGACTGTACCCTCTTCCTTCTTGGGCTCCAAGAAGCCAAAATCACACAGTAGTTGTGGCCTTCCACATGAGACATTCTTATGGCTAAAGCCCTCCCTGATAGTAGTAGATAGAGGCTGGGGAACAACGATTTTTTTCTGGCAGTCACCATCTTATTTCTGTTTTTCATGTTTCTTCTCACCCAGAAACATGAATATTAGGTTTTCCCTGTTTTTCAAAAAATAAATTATTTTGCTACAAATAATCCAAGTATACATTAATTCGATAGGGCATTTTTGGAATTTGTTCCCCCTTGTGTTATTAAAAATTTTATTGAACATACTATTCTTAGGTGTTGCCCATGTTCAATGTATTTGGTTGCTAAGCATTCTAAATATTTATATTTCTTCTGAGGTGCATCCTTCTAAAGTATAAGAACCAAAAACCAGAGCACCAGAGCTACCAGATTCTATACTACAAAGTAAAAGAATTTACTTACTTTTCAAAGATTATATAAAGTCTATTCTAGTGTTATAATTATAGACATACTATATACTGTAATTTATAAAATTTCTGAAATAAATTTATTTTTACAAGTGCTCTGTATATTTTACAAATGTGTTTTCTTATCATTTGTTTGTCAATATTTTATTTACCAGTTATATAAAGCATAAGTACTCCAGCATTTCAAAGATTTTCAACTTTTTAAGAAACAACTTCAATGTTGTTTCTCTTGGGCAGATAATAAAGGGACAACAATAAGAGAAAAAGTTCAGAGAATGTTTCACATTAAGCTGCTACATTGGAACAACCAGGGAAAGCTTTAATGCGTGGATAGGTAAGTTTTTGATTGAAGGAAGGAAACATCTCATGTACTTAAAAATATTTACAGGTCCTTCAGTGTACAATCCAAGTTAGAAAAGTAGTTTAGAAAAGCAGCAGTAGACCATACCCACGCAACTGAATCACTATCAAAGGAGTCACAGAGAGCATATCAGGGTTTTTCTAAATTCTTACAGACTGTTTAATGTTCACCATCTTACATGAGCTTTTCTTTATATTTGTCCAGCTCCGTCACTGCCTTCTGGAGTTTTAGCTCAAGTACCTCTACTAGATGTTGTAAATCTGAAATGACACAATGTATTCATCTGGTTAGGGTACTTTAAGTGTCCAGATATTTTCATAGAGTAAACCACATTCTTTTGGAGTTGCCTCACAGCTTGAAGAATAATGCAGCTGTTTATTCTACTTTTCCTGGATGACCATACACAGCTCATCTCTGCCCTGAAACCCCATGGAATTAATGGGTTTTGACAGACCCAATTTATTGGCCTCTTCCTGCCTCCAACATCATGCTACTTTTCAAACAGCTAAGAGGCTAAATTTTACTAATATTTCCAAAGGAAATGTATGTTGCTGACACACGTATGAATTTCTGATCATGTGGCTCACTCGAGAAACACTTGAGCGCCTGGGCCAGCTCTTGTGGCCCGGAACTGAAATGGATTGCTGAGGCTCCTGGTAGAAGCAAAATAGACAAACCTTGTGTAGACTCCAGGTAAAGAATCTGTTAACTTTGGGTAATGACTAATAGGCATTTTAGTGACTTTCAAAGCCAAGAAAATACAAGCAAGAAATTGGCTTCCATCGAGTCTAGAACTGGAGAATTCAAACAGTGTGTGAGGAAGATTATTCAATCAGCCGTGTCTAACATGTGTGGATGCAGAACTGAAACTAAAGCAGAGAGAACAAATGCTTGATTTATCTGAGTCCTGCCTCGAGCCTGCGTGTGGGAACTGAGATCTGAACCGCAGCCCCAGGGACAGCCCTTGTTGGCACTTATTTTGGAAAGGTAGAAAACAAACTTACGTAGACTGACTAACTGTTTTCTGTGAAAACAAAATATTTAAAACACCGCAATTATAAAATTTCTATGTTACATCTGCTCAGGTATTTTAATAACATATTTTTAACAATAAAATTTAAAATCTTCATGCATGCATACAAATACATGAACTTTCTCTCTCTATATATATATCTTCAATCTGTTTTATGAAGATATATGATATATGAAGAGCCATTTCCTTAAAACAGAAAATAAATTCACTCTAAACAAATGCTTTAATTAGAATTTATCAGGTATTGGCATAAATTTTACACATATCCATTACTTTCAGACACATTATGTAATTTTATCCCTCAAATTGCCTTGCAGGTGCTAAAATAGTCTCATTTTTCAGATGAGGAAAACATGAGATCCTTTCTGATTCTCTTGCCTATATCTTACAAAGAGTAAATGCATTAGCCTGCAGTCAAACTGACTGAAGATTTTAAACTTGGCTGAGGGGAACAATTTGAGAAGATGGCCCCTAGAAATAATATTCAGTATGGACTTACCTGATAAATAGTATATGTGGGGTACATCTTTTCCATTTATCAAGTGATATCATTACATGAGAGAAAAGACAAAATAACATACACTCAGAGAATTTGTTTTTGAGTATAACCTTTGGAAATAAGGCAATCTCATGAATGTTGTACAATGTGTTGATTTGTTATTAAGTTCATGTGGGTGTGCAGAGGAGATCTATTCACACAGGCACAGCTAAAAGATTTCAACTCATCCCCTGAAGAACAAGCAGGGAAGGAAGCTGATGTTTATTGGCAGTGTGCTATGTCCAGGCACTGTGCACAGTGCTTTCTTCCACATCATTTCATTCACAGTCACAACGACCACAGAAAACAGTTACATGTTTTATTTTTACCAGTGAAGACTCTGAAGACCTGATTAAATAACTAACTTATCAAAGGTCACATAGCTAGTTAGAAGTAATCCCATGATTCAGACTCAGGTTGGCCTCATCTGCTGTCCTTATCTTTCTAAATCACTTACACTGACTCTCAGAATATAAAAGCTGGAAGGGGATATTTGTCCATAAAAGTGTGCTTAGTGTGGCTGTAGATCTGCGTAGCATATCCCATAATCTTTAAAGAGGTATATTTAAGACAAATGGAAAGCATTATTTTACATAAAATATGTAGTACATTAGTGAAATGTCTAATTCTGAGAGGTGGTTTAGATTTTAATTTTTGAAAGTTTAAAAATATATTATAATTAATGAAAGATATTAAGACAAAGTGATGTCATCGTGAGTGACTTTATGAGACTGACATCAGAGAGACCAATTATGCCTTCCTATTAAATGTCCCTTGGTGCTCTTGTCAGGATAATCTTAAACTAGATGAAGCATAGGTCTGAGTCCATGACTATATGATAAATTTTATGTTATTACTTCTAAATGCAGCTATACCAAACAATTGGTACTTGAATATGTGAATTTTATGCAATTAATTCTCAATTACCTCATAATTAGTAGAATAGTAGACAGTAAAAACGGCAGCTAATTCAAAACCATTTTTATAGCACTGGAAGTATTCTTAGCCTCACATTTGAATGTACTGTTGCATCACAGTTCTAGAATTTACTAGGTTTAAAGGAAGATAAATTACACATTCATGACCCATCTCAAGAAGGGAAAACTACTATACTCTCCAGTATTATTCTCTCTACATACCCACTTAAATCACCCTTTCTCCCTGTTTCAAGATAAGCATAGATAGCTTAATGTTTAATTCAGAGTACCCAATGAGTAGAGAAGCCACTTCTTTCAGATTATTTACTATGTATTTACAGTATCTCTGAGTAAAAATAAGGAAAGCAAATAAATGTTTTACTTTAAAATACAGAAACCCCTGAAGGCTGTCACGTGAAGTAAACAGAAACAGAAAACACAGTAATGTCAACAAATAAATAATTTTATATAAGACGAGAAGATACCACACAGAACTGAGAAAAAAAGATTCATTATGAATAATCCATAATGTAAATAGCCCACCAGTGTATAATTAGAAATTGATTAATATATTTTCACAGCTGTTTTTTCACTTTGGGTTATTTTTTCTCTCATAAAGGAGGACTAAGAATTGTTTTTAAAATGCATAGGCCGTATATTTACTGTTCTGAATGAGGCGTAAGCATCCTATTCGTTTATTATTGGTTCTGGCATACTATAGCATAGGGTCCTTTTGTTATTGAAAGCAGAATGTCCAGTTCCTGTCCTTAATAAATAAAGGAACACAGTTAGGATAAGCGGCAGAGAGATTAAGCCACCTGCACTAGACAGCTCCTTCAGTTTCTGAGACAAGGAGTTCTTAAATAAGTGTATTGTTCTGTGCAGTCCTTCTCTATAGTTAAATAAATTCAACTTCAAATTTCTGTCATTCAGCATGACATTGGATTATGAGGCAAAAGGCCCTGAATGCCTACAAAAAGAAAGGAAGCACTGGCTTTAAACACCATGCAGATGTAAGGCGGAACCCATGGAAACAATCCAAAATTTACAACAGCAAATTCTACTATGATCTGACTGCGTTCTTTGCAGATATTAAATAGGAAGCAAATGATTTTAAACGAACGAAACAAAAAAGAGCTCTTAGCCTCTCTTCATACGAAGCCAGCTGCTTGCTGGATAACATTACAGAGGCATCCGATTTGTAGTAATTAGTCATTTAAGAGAATCCTGTTATTTAGAAAGGTTTCTGGAATCTACTAATATGAAAGGTATTCATAGTTAGCTGTTTTATAGAAGAATATAAAACTTTACATTCATTTGGAGGGTATATTAAGTTAGCATAATGTTTGAAAAAACAATAAATAAAAACTTTATAGTGGAAAGATATTACATGCTCAAATTTTCTGGATTAAGAAAACATCAAAAAAAATTAAAAATCTGGTTCGAAGTGCTGCATGGAAGGAGCAGAATGGAAGAACAAGCAAGGCACTCAGAGATCCATGCCCAGGGGAATTTTTTTTTCAATGAAAAATTGAAGGCTCTCTTTATATTTTTAAATGGCGGAAATAACTGAAGAAAAGGAAAAACGAAAGCTCACCACTTTTTTAAATACACTCCTAAGAGAGGATGCCTTAGAGGTGTCATGCAAGAACTTTAAAGCCAGCCTAACTTCAAATTCTGGCTCTGCTTCCTGCTAGCTATGTGACTTTAGGCACTTCAGTTTCCTTATCTGTAGAATGGTTATTACAACACAGGAGTGTTCTGAGAATTAAAAGCGTTTTAATATATGTAAAGAGGAGAACAGTGTCAAGCACGTAGTGAGCACTGCGTTAACTGCTGCTAGCTATTATCATTCATGGTGGTGGCAGACCCTCTCCACCCCCACAAACTCCTTTTACTCTCATCACTTATCAACTTGAGGAACTTGTTGGGGCCAGTGTCACCGGTGGTTATCTTTGTATGCGGAAGAGTAAAAATGAAGGTTTTAACTGTGTATTTTTCTTTAACAATGTAGAGAGTAACTATGGCAAAACCTTAAAACTACTTAAATATGGGTGATGTCACACACAGTTGTTACATTATTCTCTGTGTTTTCTGAGTTTGACATATTCTATAGATGTATAGCTATATAGCACATGCCAAGGATGGTAGCATGTTTTGCACTGAATCTAGTCAACTCAATTCTGTGTGTCCAAAGTACAAAAGAAAACAGGGGGAGAACTTGGTGAGGGTGGGAAATGAGGTTGAAAACCCATTTGATTTTGTGAGTAAGGAGCAGAGATTGAACTGTAGCTGAAGGAGGCTATGGTAACAAGGAGTGTTATTTATTTTGTTTTTGTTTTAAGGTATTGGGACATATTCATTTGCATTTGAGAATAATCCATTCTAGAGGGCACCCACACTTGTGAATTTAATGTATGTCTTCTAAACTGCTTCTAATGTGTGAAAAAATAGAACTTTTTAAGTTTTTTTTTTTACAAAACTGTACGAATAGTGTTAAGCTGTAAATCTCATTTTAATTCATATGTTTTCCACTATACATATTTTTGAGACCTATCCACGCAGCTGTATAATAGATATGATTCATTCCTTTCTGACTGCAATCATGTGCACATACCACATTTTACTGATCTAGTCCTATAATGATGGAACCTCAGTTGCTTGCAACTTTGTGTCACCATAAATGATCCTTCAATAAAAGCTTTTTACCTATCTTCTTGCATGCTTGTAGGGGAGTTTTCTGACGTATAACCCTACAGCGAGCTCATGAGG